ACAACCACATTCATCGGGGGTCGGGTTTCTACAAATTAAATGCCTCTCTGCTCCCCCTCTCCAAATTCGAAGACCTGGTCAATGATTTCTGGAAATACAGGCAAACTCAAGAACCCACCTCGGGGGAAGGGTGAAATGGTTTAACGATGGAGTGGCGCAATTGCAGGAAAGAGCGAAAAAATTATCCATCCAACATGCGAGAGATTGCAAAGCCTGCTTGGAGAGCCTCGTGTGAGACCTAGAAGAATGGGATGAAGAAGTCATGAAAGACCCACTGCGCCACCCCTCTTATGACAACTGCAAGAGGCCTGGGACCACCTCCAGACATGTATATAGAGCAGCAGGCGCAGGCATGGACCAAAATGAAAAAAGACCACATGAACAGGACAATGGCCAAGGCCTTTTTTAACAAGGCCAGCGCAAGAACAAGAGCAGTCGCGGTTCCCAGGCTTAACCACCCATTGGACAACAACGCTCTGTCGACAACTAGCGCATATGCAATCGTGGACTACGCGGCTAGATATTATAAAAACATCTTTACATATGAGACACCCAGCACATGCCCAAGCGAGAGACACACTACTGCAGAAAATTCGCTCACGCCCAACACAAGAACAAAGGGACATCTTGGATGAGCCTATAACCCCACATGAGGTCTAGGAGGCCCTGCAGGGTTTGGAGGATGAGAAGATGCCTAGGATCCATTCATTCCCGAAAGAATTTTGTGTGGGGTTTCGGACCTCCTCAGCGATGATATCATGGAATACATAAAAGAGGTTCAAAACGAGGGCTCGTTTGGGGGAATGATTGGACAAGGGGTCACAACCCTCCTCTACAAGAACATAAGAAACTACAGACCCATCACCTTTCTTCCGGTCCCCTACAAACTGGTGGCCAAACTCCTCACTAACAAATTGTTGCCTCTCATAAATATGCTAATTCACCCGGACCAAACAGGGTTCATGCCCAGTCGTATCATCCAGGATAATATCCTGTTAGTCAATGAGACCATCAGATACGCCCGCCAACTGAGAGTCCAAGCTGCAATCCTCTTCATAGTCGAAAAGGCGTATGACCATGTCGACTGGGACTTCTTCGACATGTGCCTACTCAGAATGAACTTTGATCCGGGTTTTTGTCAATGGGTGCACCTGCTGCATAGATCGACCACAACCAGCTTAATGCTCAATGGCCACCTCTCACCACCGATTCGCCTTCAAAGATTGGTGCGTCAGGGAGACCCCGTTGCGCCATTGCTGTTTGTTATTGTCATGGAGGCCCTTGCATTGATGATCAGAGCGCACCACCGTATCATCAAGGTGCCTATCCCGGACATACCGCACCACCTCATACCGGTGACATCACTCTTTGCGGATGACCTCACTGTACTAACGTGCAGATCCGGCTAGCCTCCAAACTCTCACTCAAGTTATTCACCTTGTCTCGTTGGCGGCCGACATGAAGGTCAACTGGGGCTCCAAGACTGAGGGCTGGTGGCTCCACCCTCAAGGACAGTCACCCCCACCTGAGCCGAGTAAGCATGGGCCCGCAAGGAAGATGCCATAAGGATATTAGGGGTGAGACTGACTGTTGTGGGCCGCCCGACAGACCATGGGGACATGCTGGTCAACAAGGCCGCGGACCGGCTAGCCAATTGGGAGGTCCTGCACATATCACTGGTGGGACATGCTTTAGCAATCATTAGTGTCGGCCTGACAGCTAGCCAATTGGGAGGTCCTGCACATATCACTGGTGGGACATGCTTTAGCAATCATTAGTGTCGGCCTAACAGCTATCTGGTACAAATTGCCAGTGTGGCCTGAGTAAACAACAACACACCAGATTGATGAAAGCCCTCACGACATAGCTGTGGAAAAACAGCACCAAGGCTTAGGGCTGCGTCAACAGGGTGAAGTGGGACGTCCTTGCACAGCCTAGATCCAAAGGGGGGTTGGGAATCCTAGACCCTGAAAGAGAGACTGAGGCACTCATTTTCAAAGTCCTCGTCTGACTGCTCATAGGAAACGACGTCCCCTGGGAGCCACTGGCCTGCCTGCAAATAGCCAATCTTGCACCGCAAAATGATGTACCCGGAAAGGTTCACCCGTTTCAATGGCTGACAAATAACCACTGGACCATCCCGTCGCCCCCAAAGCAAGCACACCCTGCACATGCTGCTAACCCGGCACACGCGACAAGGCTGGACATAATGGCAGATCCGCTCTGGCCTTATATACTCAAGCTTTGGAGACGACGAGGTCCCCAGCAAAAACATCCCCAAAACAGGTGGCATGACATATGCAGGCAACCCCTCTTTGGCAACCCGCATATCCTACAGGAATCAGGCGACCCCTTCACCTTGACAACGAACTCCCCCTGACTCACCTGGGCCAAGAAGGGTGTTTCACGGTCGGAGACCTGTGGGACCCGGTGAGAGGGGAGTGGGAAACCCCCAGCCAGCTGCAACACAAGCTCGAAGATGTAAAAATGTGGAAGAAAAGGCTGGCCTGCTAAAAGAGTCCCTCCCTATCGCTTGGCGGCTCACCCTGTGGGAGAGACCGATGGTCCGATAAGATGACTGGGTTGTCAAATATTGAGACTTACCTGTCCACCTGGTCATCTTTAAAGCCAAGGAGAACAACTATGGGTCCTTTGAGCTGGAAGCCTACGAACCCCAACTGCCCGGGGCCAGGCTCACAAAACTGACAAAAATGACGACCTGTACACCACATGTGGATGGGGAGGATTGATGCAGGTGAGAGTGGTGGGAGACCCAAAAAATGGCTACTATGCATAGGAGATCACCACACCCATAGCCAAGCTCCCCTTCGACCTGGCTGAGTGAGAATGACCTGGTTCCAAACCGATGCACATATGGAACTACACAATTAAAGGAGGATATCGAACATCGTGACAGGACCAGCCGATCAGCCAAAAACCATAGTGAACAGATGGGCACGGGATTCGCCGCCGGACCCTACACTTTCAGAATCCTTTGCCTGGTCCAGATACGCAAAGATCATGCCCACAAACCATAGGCCTTTGCAGTGACAGATCCTGCGTCGCTGCCTCCCCACACCCGATTGGCTCGTGTCTAGGACTGACCTGGAACAACAAGGGAGGCTGTCTCCCATCTGCGCATATTGCAGGACATCCCAGATGCCAGCCAGGGCAACCCTCAAACACTGTTTACTGGCGTGCCCCATGGTCAGCCAACTATGACAGTGGTGGGACGCGGCCTTCCACTCCTTCACTGGATATCACATCCCCTGGGACCTCGGCCTCCTGCTGCTGGGAGAGAATCGCCACCTGCTGGCACGCTGGTCCCCATTCGCGACTAACCTTTTCTCGTAACGAGGCTGCATCTTCTTATGTTGGCCTGGAGAACCAGATGCTCATTTGAAAGAAAGGACACCAATTTGGACTGCAGCAAGTGCAAAAAGCTGTCGAAGAGCAGATCAGGACCAGGACCCAGGAAGCCTGGAAGGGGATGAAGTGTGAATTGTTCAAGGAGAAAGACCCTCTCACCAAGGAAGCCATTCAAGACTCCTATATGCAGATTTGGCAGGACCCAAACAAACTGTTTTCAGAACTGGACACTGCTCTCAATGTCACATGGAAACCGTGGAGGAGTACGGAACCTGGTTGGCAAAGGAAACCCCTCAGTGACTTCCAGGTCCCATACCTACAGCCTTACTTCATCCTCCTCCCAAGCCCTGTGCCACCTGCCCAGCCACTGCCCCCCCCGCTCCCCCCCCACATGCCCCGGCATGCCCGCTGCACCCAATCCAGTCACCACCGTCACCCCCCGCCTCCCAAACCCCCCGCAATGCCCTCCCAACCGCTTGACCTGCAGGTTTGTGACTTGCGTTGGCCACAACAGACAAGATGAAGGAAATGCGAGGATTGGAGCCACAGGCAACAACAACAGCGATGGCACCAAGACCGGAGCAACAGCGCACGTCTCACTGCCACATGCCCTGTGGCTGGAACTATAAAGACCTACGCATCCAAGAAAGCAGGGTTCGTGAACCACGAATGCAGACCTGAAAAGGGATAATCCGACCAACCGGTGTACGGCACAAGGGTTCTCACACACCCAGTGTGGCAAGGATGGATTTCTTTCAAGAGCTTGAAAATAATATTCCAATGCTTTTGCATGTTCTCCATTACTAGTATGTATCAGTCCTATGTTGTAGAGTATATAACTTCAGTCATAAGGATCAATTTCTAATCTCATAGCCTTCGGCTTGAGCAGACATTCGTCGCGATTGATTTTTCAAAGAACACCTCCGTTTCAAAACTGTACATGAAACTTACATTTCATACGGCTACGCACAAGACAGATTCAGATGTACTGGCATATGCTTCTCTTATTGTGCTGCTTTCTGTTGCACGCATCGCATTGCATTGTACTTCATTTTCATCGCGGATCATCCGGCTCCAAGGATCAAGAATGTGGTATGCATGGGTTTTGAGAAGGGTATAAGGTTTAAAGGGTTTAAAGTGACAGATGTGGCAACAACAAACAGCGGGGCTGCTGAATAAGGCTGAGCTAATAGACAAGGGGCGCGCCAAGACGGGACGGGATGGGTGACACTGGCAGCTCCATGGGACAACGGAGCCCCTGACTGAGAAGTGAAATGACCACAGCCCCAGGAAACAACAAACAGCAATCTCTGTGTTGCAAGATGTATCAATGGAATGCTGGACCTGGTTTCCAGCAGGTGCCGCTCCCCACCAATAGATGGAGCACCGACAGCTAAGCCCTCCATTCTGACGGTTCTCTTACCACCGCCGGGATAGAGGGCTTACACAAGGGCTTTTTTCACAAAAGAAAAAAAAAAGAAAAAAAAAGAAAAAAAAAAGAAAAAAAGAAAAAAAGAAGAAGCTATTGCGAAGTCAGAAAAGAGCTAAAACCACTTCAGGGAAGAAAAAAAAAAAAGTTCCCAACTTACCAACTGACTGGTTAACTTGCTACCATGAATGAGCTCAATCAAGCGTGAAATTTGAAAAGATATGGTGTCGTACTACAAACTAACCAACCAGCAGTTTGTGGCACAAACAAACCATTGGTTACATCGGTTAACACCTTTTTGTAGTACTGTGAACCACGTTCGCTAGCAGCACTACTAGTAACCAACAGTGGTTAGCACTGCTACTAGTAACCAACCACAGTGGCTAGCACTACTACTAGTAACCAACAACTGTGGTTAGCACTACTAGTAACCAAGGGCAGTGGTTGGCACTACCACTAGTAACAACCACGTTGGTGAGCACCATAACACCACATAGGTTAGCAACTTAGCACTCTAACACTGTGTTGATTAGCACTACAAGTGCACAGTGCTGTAGCACTGCGAACCACATTGGTTAGCACTAAAACACTGTCTTGGTTAGCACTAAAACACCACATTGGTTAGAACTACTACCAAGTAACCAACCACGTTGGTTAGCACCACAAAACCACATTCATTACCACTACTAGTAAACTAACCATATTCATTAGCAGTAGTGGGAACCATGTTGGCTAGCACAACAAAGCCACAGTTGTTTGAACTATTAACCACGTTGGTTCCCACTGATCGTAGCCAACCACGTTGGGTGGAACTACTCGTATTCAACCGTGTTTGTTAGCAGTACTGGTAACCACGTATGGGCTAACTTCTTCACTCTCCACTTGCGTGTATGTATATGGACCGAATCACTGTGAATAAAGATAGTCAAAGTCCTGGTTGAGGCCAAGCATCGTATTAACCGTTGTGTATGTGAGATAGAGGACCCCTGTTGCGATGACGACAACTAGCACCGCAGTGGCAGGTCTTCTTAGCAGATCAGCAAGCGGTTTTACTAACGTGTACAACCCCCCCGTCGCGACGGTGAAGAAGTAGAGAACGTACCTCCGCATGTTGTCCCAAAAGTCCTCCATCAGAGGGCCTCCGGGTCCAAGAGCAAGGGCGCGCAGGTCGGAATCCAATCCAGCATGTTGATGATGATGGATTGGGAAGCGAGACCCTTCTTCAAGTGCAGCCCTTGCTAAATCAGGGTGAGAAAGAACCACCAGCATTGCACCTCCCAAGGAAAGGGCCATGGTCATCACTGCAGCATTTGTGCTAGAGGGGAAACCTGCTAAGCACGAGCAAAGAACAAGAAGAAGACAGGAAAGACATTCCAAAATTCAAACTTTATCTTTCCTTCTTCCGAGTTTTTCTTTCTTCTTTTTTTTTGACGAAAAACAAGTGCCTTTTTTGACGAAAAACAAGTGCCAAAAACATACTTGCAGTGAGGTGCTCCATGCGGTGTGGTGCGCAGGGCGCCGTGCGCGGGTCGTTGATCGCAAGAAACATGCGCACAGGTGCAGTGCGGAAGGCTGCGCGATGCGCCACAAGTATGGGACTCAAAAACCATATTTTCACCAATGGGCCTAGCTCAGTTGGAACACCCATGAACTGTTGAAATGCAGCCCCAACTTTGAATCCAGATACCACAAGAAGAAATCGCTGTAATAATGGCATGATCCGTTAAAATCCCCATTACTAGCACAAAAGGAAAAAGGAAAACAAAACGGGACTAGCGGAACTACCCATTGAAGCAGCACAACTCACTTCACTCTGACTGTATCTGACGGGAATGATAGCTTGCATTCCTCCAGAACGACTCTCAGAAATCGATTCATGTGAAGCAGCCTATTATTATTAGCAACAAACAAAACAGACTTAAGCCAAAAAAAACAAAATGGGCCTGTCAGAAGGCATATACTCACGGGATGCAGCACTTGTAAAACTCTCACACACACACATGTTTTGCAGCCACTAATGAGCGCAGCCCCAAAAGAAATCTTACCTTGTCGAGCTGCATTTTTCCCAAGGGTGTACTACCGCAGCCCGCCCGTCCCCCTTTTTTCTTTGACCCCTATTTTTGCCTGTGCCCGCATCATGTGCGCATGCGGTTTGCGCCACACGTGCGGCCATAGCACACAGGATGTGCCGCAAGTATGGGACTCAAAAAACATCTTTTCACCAATGGGCCTAGCTCAGTTGGTACACCCATGAACTCTTGAAATGCAGCCCCGTGTGTAACAAGGCGGAGACAGGGCAGCGAGGCTGGGAGAGGGAGGGAGAGTGAGAGCACACACACACGATCACTCAACTCGACTCAGACTCGACACGACTCGGCGGACGCAGACACAAAGTGGCAAAGTCGCAAAGTCGCAGTCTTGGATTCCTGAACACAATGTCGAAGCATAGTCAGACTGAACACAAGCAATGAGGCTGAAAACTGGTTGCCCATACTGAGCTTGAGTCCGGTCTTAAGTACCAGACTCAAGTTCAGTCCCGAAGGCAGAAGTGCAAATTGCCTCAGGGCTGAAATGAAAGTCAGAGGTCTGAGTCTGGGCGCCAGAATGCCGGATGGTGCCAAGTATCGAAATCCGAAGTCTGGGCGCCAGAATGCGGGATGGTGCCAAGTATCGAAATCCGAAAGTGCCAAAACAGGAATTTAAGAACGGGCGCAAGAGTGAGACACGGCAAGCTGACAGTCAATCCTCCACCATTAATGGAGTAATCAATGCTGCTCAGGGGTCCTTCGGCCAAACGGAAGGAAGTGTGTGTTTCTGTTGTAATGTAATGTGTATTCTGACTTGCCGGTGGAATAGGAACTGGACTGACGCTCCCCAGAATATAAGGAGCCAGGACCACAAGGCCCTGTTTGAAAAAAAAAAAAAAAAAAAAAAAGAACGGGCACCGACTGCAGTGGGCACCAACAGCCAGGGCCCTGAGAACAGAGACCCAGAAATGAAATAGCAGCCTGGCGGGTGCTAACCCGCGGACCAGGGATCGAGCCCTCGCTGAGTCCATAACACTATCCCCTCCCTCTGGAAGGCAACGTCCCGGCTGCCAAAGACCTGATGAACAACCATGAGGACGGGGCGGGGCTGATCACTGGTCAGAAAAGGAAAGGGGGACTAATGCAAGTAACAGGGTAATTGATGTGCTACAAGGTTGAAGTAACAGGTAACAGGGCAATACTATTGATGTTCTACGGGGATAAGGGAATCAATGCTCAAGTAACAGGGTAATTGTTGCATACTGTAACTGTACAAGAACCGACCTCTCAATACAAAGTACAAGATAGCGTAGCGGAAGACTTAGATACCAATGATCCAAACAATCAATATTTCAATGCAGCCCCGAACATACATCATCATCATCATTCCATAGTGTGAAGGGGTCTGGCGCTTCACACAGGAAGACTGCGCCAGCCCCAACCATACACAGACGAAGGAGATGGGGGTTAGACGAAGAAGAGGGGAAGATGGGGAATGTCGTCAACACCAAGTCTTCGGCACGGGCCCAAATAGTCCCTCGTCAAAATGTCTGAATCCCAATGTCGAGTCTGGATCCAATGTCGTCAAGTCTCAAGTCACAACTCTCTCTCTCTCT